GAAGCGGGTCACCAGGCTTTTAAAGAAACTGCACATGCTCTTGTGGGGCGTCAGAAGTTTTGCGATTTGCCTGAGTCAACTTCTGCAGCATCTAAAATGTCTTCCTGCCTAGACGCGGCCAAAGACGCAGACACGGTTGTGATCAGCGCGAACTTTCCCGCGGGGCTCTTGCCGGCTTGGACGGCAGCCAGCAGTGCACAGCGAGCTGAGCTGCCGTCACAGACTGGAGGACACGTCCCCCGCCCCGGCCAGCGCGATCGCGACCAACGCGGAGTTTCATTCCGACGGGGGAGCAGCGACCTCCGGCGGCCATGCGCATCAGCGAGCGTGCGGGATGAGCACGCGGGGCGGCCGCCGTGTGCAGCGGGCGCTCGGCGAACACCTGCTGAATGCTTAAGGAATGGCTTTGAACTTTTCTGGCGAGAGCCCCGTTCTCCAGCCCGATGGCTGCGAGTCAGTCTTTGGTCCCAACACCGCTGCCGGGGACGTCCTCTGAAGGCGGCTTCCTTTGCGCCCGGTCACCTCCCAGAGGCCCGCGGTCACCGCGCGCCACGCACAGGCCCAGAACGGTCCTGGAGAATAGTGTCGTGTCCGCCCCGTTACACGTTGTCATCAGAGACTGTCCGCTCTCAGCCATCGCCCTTTCAAAGTTGTCTGACAACCCCTAGGTGCATGGTTCTCGGGGCTCCCTCCGGCTGGACAGTCCGAACCCGCCCCCCACCCCGACCTCTCTGGCCAGGGCCCTGTCCTCTCCCCGGACCCCCAGACCCAGGCCAGGCACTCCTGGGAGGCGCACTGGGAGCTCCTGAGACGCTTCCTCAGGACCCTCCGAGGAGGAGCCATGGGGGGGGCCTCACCGAGTCTCTGTCCCGCGGGGGGCCCCCGCCGTGGGCGGGCCACTTTAGAAGTGGAAGTCGCGTTCTGTGTGTGTCGGAGGTGTGTCTGAGCGTCGTCTGCATGGAGCCGCCTTCTGGTCCGCTGGGTGGCCCCTCAGGGTTAGGTGATTGTCCTAGCTGCCTGAAGTCCTGGGAGCAAGGTCTTCAGCTCTGACGTGCGTGAAGTGACGGTGACTCTGAGTGCCCGGGGAGTAAGGAATGTGGGTGGCATGGGGAAGGAGGCTGGGGTGGGGGGAGACTGGACGGCTCGGGGAGGGTGGGTGCCTCTGGTGGCCCCCTCAGGACCAGCCTGGCCCGGTGGCCTCGCCACACCCCCACCGGAGGGGTTGTCTTTGGCTCTGGGGGCCTCGGAGTCTGCCCTGAATCTGTGCAGACACACACTGTGTCCAGGGACGGAACCGCCCGCAGTGCCCGCAGTGGCTGGAGCCAGTTGGCTGTGGATCTGTGACAGGAACCAGTCGAGGTCACGGTGGTCAAGACAGCAGCACCGCAAACCCCGTAGAGACCCCGGGCCCGGGACCCCGCCTGAGATCGGGTGGCCCCGCCACACGCACACGTTACCGAGAGGCGTGACAGTCTCTTCACCTGGGACCGGGACGGCTCGTGGCCGGAGCAACGGGCTCGTGTGCGCATGCAGCAGAGCCAGAATGCGGCTCGGTGACGACCCTGGGCCCAGCGAGTGAGCGGTGCCCTCTGGGGTTCTCGAGAGAACGCAGGTCACACACCGGACCGGAACTGGCTCCAAGCGCTCGGCTTCTGCAGTGGCGGCCGGCGTGGAGGGCCGTGTCCCGTGCAGGACGCAGGCGTTATCGGGCCTCTTTGGGGCGGTTATAACAGTATTTCAGAGCCAAGCAATTCCTGGAGGATCTGAATTTTTTGCACAATGATATCATGTAATATCGTTCCTAAAAATTATGACAAGATACTGCATGGGATGTTAAAAAACACTTTTCTATTCTTGCTTGAACGTAGACCTTCTCTTTGGGCGTCAGTGGGGAGGAGCGGGTCCCGTTCCTCCCGGGGCTTGAGGACGTTCCAGGCGTGGCTTCCTCCTGCCTTTTCAGCAGCTCCGTGAGAGAAGCGGATGTTTGTGTGACTCGTTCTAAGGGACAAGTTACACCACGTCCCAGATCCGCGCATGTGGGGACCTGGGCCGCTGACCAGCAAACCAAACCTGCACGAAACGACAGCTTCCCAGCCGCCCAGGCCTGGTGGCCGACCCGGGGCCCAGCCACGGCTGGCGGCGGAGCAGGGGGCAGCGAAGCCAGGGCGGTGACACGCGTCACCCTCAGTGCACAGAGGTCAGGCCCAGGCCCCTCGCTTCCCAGGTCGCTCCCCTCAGCACTGGGACCCCCCCCCTGAAGGCGTGTTTGCCAGCGCGGCGGGGCGAGTCTCACACCGTGCGGATCGCTTCTCCTGGCCCTGCTTCTTTGCTCGCCCCGACAAAGTTTCTGCACCATCTCGTCACCGCCGGTCCCTCCGGTGGCTGTCCTCCGTCAGCCAAAGGGAGAAGGGCCCGAGGACGCTGCTTCGTGGGGTCTGGGGAGCCCGTGTGCCGCCTGCGCCCCACTCGGCGGACCCCGTCTCCACGCCGGCTGGGGCTGTGCTGTCCCCGTGCCTGCTGCGTCACCCCCCAGGAGCACCAGTGGGGCCCCTGTGGCAGTCCCGACCAGACACGGGGCCCAAGGACTCGCCACGTGTCAGCTGGGTTCGTGGGCCCCAGGGGGTCGGGATGGCCCCGTGCTCCTGAGGTCGCGTTAGGGGCGCGGCTGGGGGACTCCAGTGTGTCCCGCTGCAGCAAGCGCCAGACTCCGGCCGAGCTCCGCCAGCAGCTGGCTGCGGCGCCCGAGGCGCAGGACCAGCCCCTCCGGGCCTCAGTTTCCTCGCCTGTGACATGGCAGGGACGGGAGCTCCGCCCAGGCCTCCGGGGGCCGGGTGAGGACACGCGGACAGGACGACCATGCCCTGTCCACAGGGGCCCCGGGTCTGCAGCGGCGACTGCAGCGTTCGGGGGTGCTGTGTATTCCGGGGGCACTCCAGAACCCCGGGAGCCGAGTGCCCCTGGTGAGCCCGGAAGCGGGAGCCCACCGGGACAGGCTGGGTCTCACCCCGGGGCTCAGCTCCGGCCGCCGGTCAGAGCCTCCAGGGCGCTCTGACCACCGATGTGGCCCCCAGGAGCCCACGGGGAGGGCGAGGGGGTACAGCACCCCGGCTCAGGCCCCGCAGCAGCACAGAGCGCTGCTTTTAAACGAGCGGACAGCGGCCACGTTTCTGCTCAAGCTCGCGCCTTCCTGCGCTGAGGTCCTGGTGTGGGTCTGGGGCCGAGGCGGCTTGTGGCTTTGTCCACTCCTGTCGGGACAGCTCCCAGTGGCCGGAGGGCTCCCTC